AAAATAAATAATTGTAGTATACTACAGTTGTTAGTGGCCACTTTTTCACTTATAGCAGGGTTAACCATGGGATACCATGGCATTTCGGATTTAGGGGACAATTTTACATGGAAATTGAATGTTCGGGATACAAATTTCCATTGACGAGAATTATTAGTGGCTGCTTTTTCGCTATGACAATTAGTCATTTTACTAATTTATTTTTAGTGAGTAAGTATAGATTTTTTAAAAAACGCAAAGACATGTCAACTTTAGTTTCGAGGGGGACATTTTTTGCAAAAGATTTCAATTAAAAATCACTTCACCCAGTGGTCAAAACTCCTAAAATTTGAATAAGCATGATAGGGCAAGTGATACCTCATTTAAAAGGTCTTGCTCCACCGAGTAAAATAAAGCAACGAAATCTTAAGAAATAATTGAAATACATTTAAAAAAATATAGTACATAAAACCCGGCGGCCAAAGCTTATTAATTGCCTCGGCTATCGCCGCAGTGTATGTATGATTGGCTATAATATAAGTTTTCTTCATTTGATGTAGTATTTTTTCAATCGTATAATATTTTTATATTATAACACTCATACATTAGTCTATATAAAAAGACTTTACATTAACACTAGTTCAAAATTCCTCGATACAAAAACTAAGCTAAAATGTAATCATGTCAGTGGCGGCTCGTCAGGGTAGGCCTCTGAGGCCGCGCCTCACCCTTAAAATGAAGGAACGAACGACTTTTTGTATTTATATTTTTGCCTATTACAAGTGTATTTTTACAACAGTTCTACCCAATAAAAAGTAAAAAACCAATCAATCATATTAAGCGTAAATAAAAATCCAGGCGCAAAGCGCGTCAAGTTAACGTGCATCGTTGAGAGTCGCTTGGACAGAGGCGAAATTTTCACAGCCTCGGAAGCTCCCATTTACCTCTTGAAAGCGAAAATGACTCACCAACAAAAATATCGCCGTAAGTTCGCGAATAAACACCGTAGATGAGGCGAAATTTAGTTAGCTTGGCTTGTTCTGATTGGTGGTCCGTTTATGGTGGGATGCCAGCGGAGACAAAGAAGGTTACCAGTCTTCTCTTAGCGTTTGTAGAGCACGTTATTGTTTTTATTCAGATTAAATTATTTAAAACTTTTGGCTGATCTTTTATAGTTTTTGTCTCGATTAGTAAAATTTCTTATTTAATTATTGTAGGGAACACACTAAGGTAGATTTAGCAGTTTTTATTAAGCAAATTTTATATTTTGAAATAATAGATTGCATAATTCTTCAATTAGAGACGCGGTTTGAAAATTTAGAATTACTTTTAAAGACCCACAATTTTACGACCAAATAATAGATAAATTTTCAATCTTAAAAAGACGTATAGTATTTTATATTTTTTAATACTTAGGTAGGGGTCGACTTTTTAGTTTTATTTTTATTTTTTGATTAATTTATTTATTTTTAACTTTTAAGACTATATTTTTAAGTTTAAGATTAAAACTAGTCTTTGATGTGATATTTTGTTTGTTTTGTTTTTTAGAGTTTATTTTTTGGTTTAGTAGTGCTATCGGCTCCATTTTAAAAAAGGTCAACGCGTCGCAGAATAATACCTCCCGGGTGACGTGGAAATTTATTCGTATTTAGACAAAATTAACCTTATGTAGCCTCACCCTCCTGTACACCCACGAGCCGCCACTGAATCATGTCAGGCGAACCTAACAAAAAATGATGTGAAAAAAAATGTTATTAAAAAAAAAAAATATTCTAAATAAATATCTGAAAAAAATAGTATATAAAACACGGCGGCGAGAGCTTATTAATTGCCTCGCAAACAATCTACTGCGTCGTGTGGCGCCTCAGCAGTGAGATATATGCTAGGCAACATACGCGTGGAACATACATCAAAATTCGTCCCCATGAAAATAAAAATTGACGTGTCCAAGGAATTTTGTCCACACTCATCCGATAAAACGTTTGGGGGGTACAAGTTTTCGTTGGAACACCCTGTATATAACTATTATGTTATAAAGCAACATAAAAAGTATGAAATTTGAATCCATTACACTTAATGTACACATGTACAATATCAATACAATAAAACTAAAATCCATTTTAATAGCTTTAAATTAGCTGGATGTTTTTTTAATGGCCGAAATACACTTTTTTAAATTAATTATCTGATTTATAAAGTTTAAAGTGGCTGTGGATGTAGATGTACTATTTGATATGGCTTAACCATAGATTAGGGGCCTATTTATGTTTTAGATTTTTTTATATACATGCCTGCAGTCCAACATTTATTTTTTGTTTATAATATTATTAATTATTATAATTAATTGTTTTAATACCTTTTTGTTTAAAAGGTTTTAATATATTATTGAATATTATCCAAAATGGTTATTGTTCTGTTCAGTAACCTTCTTTATTTAAAGCTTTTTAAAATTATACAACTTTAAATTTTAAAAATATAAATAACAAATATTTGTAAATAAATCCACATGTCAAGGTTATGCTAAGAATAATAAAAATAATAATAATAATAATAATCTTTATTTGATAATATATACACTCACATATACATTTCAATATATGTTTATATTGTTATAAATATAATAATTAATACTAAATTTAAATTAATTTTGGTTAAGTGAAAGTACACTTTAGTATACATTTGAATGCCATCTATAAATATACAGGGTTTGTAAGAAATTAGCGACATAAGATTTACATTTAAAACTTGTTTTTGTAATGACTTAATTTGGAACATTCAAATTTTATATGTTAGTCTTATTATTGGAGACCTTTTTTGACAAACAAATTTTTAAGACATTTAAAAATGGCCCAGTTTCAAAAGATATGTAACTTTGTATTTTTCAAATGTGACCTTTTGGCAGTAAGATGCCATTTGTTTTTTATCCATACATGTCAAAAAGCATTTTAAAATGGCCCAGTTTCAAAAGATATGTAACTTTGTATTTTTCAAATGTGACCTTTTGGCAGTACGATGCCATTTGTTTTTTATCCATACATGTCAAAAAGTATTGCCTATTTTTTTTTCAAAAATAAAATTGTTAAATATTAAAAAACTAAAAGTAAACTTTAATGTCAGGTTTAAAAGATACCAAAATTTTCAAAAAATAAAAGGGTATTTTTACGCACTCACTGTTTATTTCATTGTTTTTTATGTTTTAAGGTTGCATATTGTTATTGTTTTCTAATTAATTACATTTATAATAATAATAATAATAATAATAATAATAATAATAATAATAATAATAATAATAATAAGTTTATTGTCATCAAAAAAAACATGGCCGGAATAAATAGCATATAAGTTATTATCACAGTTTAAACAATATCACAGTCCATGAACTCTTCTATAGAATAGAATGCCCCAGTTGTGAGTTTTGTACCCCAATAATCAACAAATTGCTGCGTACATTTTTTGGAGTGGTGTGGTATCATTAGAGCGGCTTTGTTCCTAGTGTTAAAACCATGGTGTTCTCCATTTTTAGGAAAATGTGCTAGGTTGACAGTGTTTGAAGTGTTTATGCTGTTTTTTAATTGAAAGTCGTTTAAATATGTAATAAAACGTATTGGTCCTAGAATGGAGCCCTGTGGAACTCCAAAATTGACTGGTTGTTCAGGTGAAATTCTTTCATTAGTGGAGACCTATTGACTCCTATTGTCCAAGTCTGATTTAAGAAGCATTGATCCTCTAAAACCATAAAAATTCAATTTTTTTAAAAGTACTTCATGTGGGACTGAATCAAAGGTTTACTCAAGTCTAGATTCAGCATGCTTATATGACTTAATATAAATTTAGCAATATATTTAATAATAACATTGCTGCCATTGAATTTGCACATATTTCAATAGGTTTATAATATAATAAACGACCGTAGTGGTTTCTATTGAAATCAGTTTTAATTTAAGGATGAATGGGCCTATAATAAAATACTGACACATTAGCAATGAAATTAAAAGTTGCCCCTTTTACGCAGCCTATTTACATAAAAAAATGTTGAATGCATGTTAAAATAATAATAGATTGCGTTTGGTACAAAATAATATTTGCCTAAACAAAAAAACACTGATTTATTCATATGACTAAGCATAACTTGTCTAGATAATTGGTTCTGACCATTTCCAAACATCGGATTGGAAACATCTTACACTAATTACATATTACTCAAATAAGAAATCAAAATTAAAATATACGACCAAGACTGATGGCGAGGCCTTTATCATAAAAAGGTGCTCCTTCGACCAAACCATTTCTTTTTTTAAGCTGGGACGCTTTCAATACACTCAAAGAACGTATTTTGTATCAAGTGGGTGTGGAGACAAATTGCTTTTTTCATACATGTAAAAACGGTAAAAAACAATAACTTAAATTGTATTTGCATACCCACTAACAAAATATAAAATATGATTGGTCATATTTAATTACTGTTTAATAAACAGTGTTTATTTATACCTTAAATATGACTCGACATTTTTATTGAAATCTCAAACAAAAACGTTTTCAAAAGATATTTTAATGCTTTGAAAATCCGAACTTCTATTTAAGCCGCCTTAAAAATAATGGTAATTAAAGGGTCACTTAACAATAGCTTAATTAAGTCTAGTTAACTATGATTCTTCATTTTTATTTTTGTTTACTCAATTGAATATAATACTGCCGTGCTTAATGAAAACGCCGTAACCAACAATTGTGCGATTTTTGTTTTACGGCATTTTCTACTAGAAAAATTCATCCTGCGTCTATCCCCGGTACTCAAAAAACCGTATCTATATATATACGGTTTTTTGAGTACCGGGGATAGACGCAGGATGAATTGTTCTAGTAGAAAATGCCGTAAAACAAAAATCGCACAATTGTTGGTTACGGCGTTTTCATTAAGCACGGCAGAATAGTAGTCGTTGCTCTACTATAGTACTAGGTTTCCACGGGCGTTATATGTATTAATGGTTTTCCGGGATATGCTCCGTGTTGTCGGTTTTTGGTTCTTAAAAGAACCGTATATTTGACGACGTTTCAGTACAATCTAATGTACCATCTTCAGGTCTTATCTGCTGGGCTGCTGTTGGTGCTCTGGTGCGAGTTTGACGTGGAGTAAGCTCCGTTGCCACTGATCGTTGTTTATATACCCAGGGCCTATTTTTGACTTAGTGGGGCCCCAAGGCCCAAGCAAAACTTCGCCCCCCATATCAATATCCTATATAACTTTTCAATAAGAATGTTTCTACTTACCTTTGACACCTTCAGGTTTATGATTAAAAAATTTAATTTTTAATTAATCAATTAAAAAATTGTTCTAATAATAAATCTAAAAAAATAAATAAATATTTATTTAAAAAAAACATACATTATAATTATTAATTATTTAGTAGGTACAAACAACTAAAAATATATTTAAACGATACTTAAACAAAATTTCTAACTGAAATTAATAACACAACAAAAAAAATTAAAAAAAACTCAGCTTCTAAGGAACAGCGAACAAAATAAATAATAATTAATAAAAATAAACAACTAATTAATTTTTTTTACGTATTTTCATTTCCGAAAACTTATCTTTGATACCATTTATTTCTAATTTATCTAGAATATCGCTTTCTACGTTTAGAATAGCCAAAGATGAAACATTTTTTTCGTTTAATGAGTTTCTTAGATAGGTTTTTTACCCGTTTTAACGTAGAAAATGATCTCTCTCCAGATGCGTTACTAATAGGAATAGTTAAATATATACGGAACAATACCTCAACGTTAGAGAAGGTTGACAAAATATTGTTATCAATTAAAAATTTTAACATTTCCTGGGGGTCTTTAGAGGAAATATCATTTGATTTACAAAGTGCTTTAAATTGTATAATTTCATCCACTAAATCTTCAGTATATATTTTTTTATATTTTTTATACTTACATTAAATCTTTCATTTGAGGGTTCAACAAAAAATACACCAAAAATTTCATTTACATAATCATACGCTTGCATTCTCATTTTTAATTCAAAAATCAATTTGTCACATATAGGAAAAAAACTATTTATTTTAAAGTTTTCAGCACCGCTTAAAGTAATGTCTTGTGCAGGGCCTTCATCAAAGAACTTGTTCCTCTTACGAACTCTTGAAATTTGAACATTATTATTTGGCTGAATTTTTTTGGTTTACAAACTAGCTAAAGCTTGGCTATTTTGTGTTACTAGAAATTTTGGTTTTCATATTAGCCAAATTAAATTGGATAGTATACCAACTATCCAGCTATTTTAGTTTCCCTAATAATTTCAAGTAAATTAACCAAGATCCTTATATGCTTTTTCTATGGATCCTTGGTTATTTTGTAAACTAGCCGCTAATTTAGTTGAAAATACATTTTCAATTAAAATAGCTGGCAGTTTTGCTAGTTTATAAACTATCCAGCTAGTTTATAAACTATCCAAGTTTGCACATTAGCCGTAACATATACAAAAATAATATATTAATTAATAATTATAACTTACCTTAAGTTAAATTTCGGAGTTCGGACGATTGCAATTAAAAAAAGAAATTATAAAATTCACAATAATACTTTCGACTAGGACTAGGCGGTAATGAAGATTGCGTTGAGCGGCAGCTTTTTCATTCGTAATTCGTAATTCGTCAGCAAAAGATTTTTCGGTACTTATAGCGGCATAAACAAAAACGCCGTAAAAGAGACCACCGATGCATCGCGATGTTTTATGTTTTTGAATCTAACTAAAATTATATAGGTATAATATCAATATCGTTATTATACCAATCTAAGCCACTTTTATTTAATATTTATCTTTATAAAATAGGTATGGCCTTATTTTAAATTTAAATTGAAATGGTTTATAATTTTTTTTCAAGGGCTTTTTTCGGGCCCCATTTTCCTCCGGGCCCAAGGCCCGGGCCTTATGGGCCTTTAGGTAAAATAGGCCCTGTATATACCCTCTGGCTGCGATTGTAACTGTGTTATGTTCGGCTCCGTTGATCTCGCTAATCTGCGTGGCGTTTTAGTATTTGTAAGAGCTGGTTTCCATGCAGTTAGTAGTCTCTGTGTATCGTCTCTAGTGTTGAGGTTTCTTGGACGTTTTTCTTTTTCAATGGCTTCACGGATGGTACGTTTGGTCCTGTGTTCGATGCTAGCCAAGACCCTTGTTTTTTCAAAGTCAATTTCATGGGAAGTTTTTCGGACGCCTTTTTGATGATGGTTTTGTAGAATCCGTTTTCCTATTGCTATTTTCAAGACTTTTTGCTTCTTGTAGTCATTATCCGCAAGCCTTTCGGTCCATTTGACAAGTGTCTTACCCTGCTGAAAAAAACTGATCGAAACTCGATCTTTTTTTATCATATTTGATCATGGTCCAGAAAATTCTTGATCCTTTTTTATCATATTTAATGAGGTTCTAGAAATTCTCGATCCTTTTTTATCATTTTCGATCAGATTTCGCAGTCGATCCTATTTGATCATAAAAACACGATCGAGTTTCGATCCTTTTTTATCATATTTGATCAGATTTCGAAGTCGATCCTATTTGATCATGAAAACACGATTGAGTTTTGATAACATATTATCGAAACTCGGTCGTGTTTTCATGATCAAATATGATCGACTACTAGGTTCTTGAAATTCTCGATCCTTTTTTATCATTCTCGATCAGATTTCGAAGTCGATCCTATTTGATCATAAAAACACGATCGAGTTTCGATCCTTTTTCGAACATTTTTGATAAGGTTTTCGTGGTCAAAAAGGATCGTTTCGATCCTGTTTTCATGATCAAATAGGATCGAGTTTCGATCCTTTTTGATAACGAAAACAGGATCGAAACTCGATCCTTTTTCGATCATTTTCCATAATGTTTCCATAATTAATTCTAAAATAAAAGATACAATTTTCAAAACATGAAAACTTTATTGGGCACTTTCAAAAAGATCGGATGACAACGATGATGATGTTGAAATTCGTAATTATAATTACATTTCCTTATTATAAGAAAAAGTAGTATTATGTACTACTTTTCATGCGCTACCTTATGATGATTAATTAATGATACGAGGTATTGCGCCTAGGCCATCGATATATTTAAATTAAAAAAAGTTCCAATAAAATAAAATCTTGACATACTTGTCTAGGGAAATCTAGGGATTTTTTTGTAAAAAATCTGGGGAAATAAAAAAATATCATCTGTCTTGTCATGTTGGTTAGTGTTTTTTGTTATCGATTTTACGGTTTTACTGTGGGTTTTTCTTTACTATAATAATTAAAAATTCGATGAAAAGTACTGATTGCCATCAAACAAAAAAAAACTTATTATTCCCGAGTTGCGGCAATTTTTTATGAATTTTGTTTTTTCGGCCCCTGAAAAGTAAGGTTATGTATACAAATTTTACTATGAATTTATTTGTTATAGGTAAATTTAAAGACAGCAAGATAGCAAGATGTCAATTAATTTAACCGCTGATGGATCATGTGCTTTTGTTAAATTTTGCGACACGGTGCACAAAAAAAGGGTGTTGCTGTCGGAAATTTCAAATTTCGATGCAAAAACTTTCTCTCGAAACAAGAAATACTTTATTGAACGTGAGGGAGCAACTGCGCAATGCGTTGTTTCTTTTTTTGCAAGTAAATAATTAATTTTTAGTCTTGTATATAGTTATACAGGGTGATTCAGTTTTAACCTACCAGGGAAAAATGTTCCTCCCATTATCCTGATTCAGAAAAATATCACACATAAGTTGACAAAGAAAAAACGTTTTTTCGTCATATCTTCTATGAAAATGATAAAAATTAATCATAATTTTGTATACATACCTTTCATATGAAAGCCCTATTTTTGAAAAATAAAATTGTTAAAATTTGATACAACATTGGCGTGCAATGGGGCCACATCAAAATATAAAGAAAAAAAGTACGCCACAATATATGAGCTAAAGCAAAACGAAAATACAAATCCAAAAAAAAAAATTTTGAAAAATCGCCGAAGGAAAAAAGGTATGAATGAAAATTTGCAAGATTATTTTGCGAAAGTTAAAAAGACAATATTAAAATAGTAATATAAATATATTCCCTAAAGGGACACTTTTTTTTTGTTTTAGAAAAAGGATAAAAATTTCATCACCATCGTCATCCGATATTTTTGAAAACGAAAATGTCCAATAAATTTTTCATGTTTAGTAAATTGTATCTTTTATTTTAGAATTAATAATGGAAACCTTATGAAAAATGATCGAGTTTCAATCCTGTTTTCGTGATCAAAAACGATATCGAACCTCGATCCTATTTAATCATAAAAACAGAATCGAAACTCGATCCTTTTTGATCACGAAAACAGGATCGAAACTCGATCCTTTTTCGATCATTTTTCATAAGGTTTCCATAATAAGTAAAAGTAGTACTATATACAACTTTTCATACTCTTACCTTATATAAAATAAATAAAATAATATTCACAACAATAATTCCGTGGTTTCGGGGAATAAGGGGATAAGTCATTTTTGGGTCTCTCTTTTCAGACTACTGTCATATGACAGTAGTCTGAAAAGAGAGACCCAAAAATGACTTATCCCCTTATTCCCCGAAACCACGGAATTATTGTTGTGAATATTATTTTATAAAATATATGACTGTTATTATTATAATTACGAATTTCATCATCATCGTCTTCGTCATCCGATTTTTTTGAAATACAAAGTGCCCAATAAAGTTTTCAAGTTTTGTAAATTGTATCTTTTATTTTAGAATTAATTATGGAAACCTTATGAAAAATGATCGAAAAAGGATCGAGTTTCGATCCTGTTTTCGTGATCAAAAAGGATCGAAACTCGATCCTATTTGATCCAGAAAACAGGATCGAAACTCGATCCTTTTTGATCACGAAAACAGGAGACAAAATCCTTATCAAAAATGATCGAAAAAGGATCGAGTTTCGATCCTGTTTTCGTGATCAAAAAGGATCGAAACTCGATCCTATTTGATCCAGAAAACAGGATCGAAACTCGATCCTTTTTGATCACGAAAACAGGAGACAAAATCCTTATCAAAAATGATCAAAAAGGATCGAGATTTAAACTCGATCCATTTTCGATCAGTTTTTTTCAGCAGGGTAATGACTGACTGTAGTTGTTACGGGTGGTGGTGAGACTGGGCGTTGAAGTAGCGGTCCGTGTGTGTTGGTTTTCTGTAGACCGTGTGCCCTAGTATGCCATTATTTTTCTTGATTATGAGGACATCTAGAAAAAGTAATTAATGTTTTTTTCTCGGTTTCCATTGTGAACTTGATCTTTTTTTGAATTCCGTTGAGATGGTCAAGAAATTTCTTCACTTCTCCGTGGGTCCAGATGATGAATGTGTCACCTAGGTACCGTAGCCATAACTTAGGTTTAAGTGTTGCCGTTTTGATTGCTCGTACTTTTATGTCTTTCATGAATAAGTTGGCTATTGCTGGCGATATTGGGGAGCCCATTGGAGCACCCTCGATTTGTTTGTATCTCTGGTCGTTGTATTTAAAATACGTGTTCTTGAGGCAGTGTTTGGTTAGCTCTGCTAATTGGGTGTTTTCTTTGCCTCAGCCAGAAATCTTCTGTATCTTTGGAAGGCCATATAGCTTTGGGCACTTTGACGACTTTTCTCTTGGAATAAGCCTTTGTTATTCATACTTGTTGATTCGGCTAGCCTTGATCTTGGCCTTGGTTGTCTTCTCCAGGTACGTATTTGGATCGGTGGATACGTTTTTGGTATTCTTACCCAATATCCCTCTTACAAATGCTTCATAATTTCATGTCAATTTTCTCAAGCACGTGCTATCGATTGTCATAATATTATCTATTGCATTATCAATGTCCTAGGGATATTATAGTTGAAAATAAATATTAAAAAGTAATAAAAAATAAACTAAATAAAGCGTATTAAAAATAAAAAATTAAAATTTGTTAAAAGTTATGGGAAACTTTTTATTTTTGTAGCTGTGCTTTTTAAAGCAGAGTTCTTGGACTTCCAGATCATCTGGACCAGATGGGTATTTAGCAAACAAAAATCAAGAGACCCACTGATATGAGAATGAATTCATACCAGCCGAGTACACGCCGACGTGACACACGCATGTGTCAAGTCGGTGTGCCAGTGTATGCGTGTTTTGCATAGAAGATAGGCTTTAGGCGTTTTTAAATAGCAGGAGAGCATGAGGTCGCAGAGGTATTACACAACAGTGCATTTTCAACTCGCCATCTAGTAGTTAGCGTCCAAAGAACAAATTTCACTTACTTGTAGGTAGGGCCAACTGATGAGGGGAAAATTAAATAGTCAAAATTCTACTATTTGAATTAGTACCAGCATTTTTTACTAATAAAATAGTCGTTTTCACTTTTAAATAGTTATTTTTTACTACGTAAATAGTTAAAGTTTGACTAATTTAAGATTAGTCACCATCTTGGAGTCCAAGACTTGGACTATTTCTGAGAGTTAAAAGTAACTAATTTCTTTAATCGTTTGCGGCCTACAAAGTATTATTTGAATTAAATGTATATACCTAAGCTCCATGGTTAAATGACCCATAAAAACATATAACTAATAATATATTCAACTTTAAAATATTATGAACAATATTTATTGACAATAATTGTATATAATAATATTAAAATTGATTTTTATAAGAGCGGATGATGTACGAATGGGTTATGACAACAGCTTGACAAGCTTGACAAGTGACAGACCTGAGTTCAATCCCTGGCTGGGTCAAAACTTTTTTAAAATTTAAATCTACTAATTTGACTATTCTATTCAGTATTCAGTAGAATTTGACTAATTATTAGTGACTGCTTTTTTGCTATGACAATTAGTCAAATATTACTTATAATTAGTTATTTTTGACTAATTCATTTTAAGAGGGTATACTACATACATACATATATACATATAAAAAATGAAAAGACAAATTTCCAAAATTTTCAAAATTCAGATTGCCAAAATTTACATTTAAAAGCCTAAGCACTGACACACCTGATTTTTTAAACTCACAAAGTGTAAATAAGTTTAAAAGTTTTAAAAGACTTTGTTTTATTTAAGAAATTATATCTTATACTTTAGTATAAGATGTAATTTCTTAAATAAAACAAAGTCTTTCAAAACTATCTTTAATAATAATTAAAAGTTGAACGTCAGGGTTACGTAAAAGATCCAGACC